CTTTCTATCGATTCCTCACATAATTAGGCGAGTGTCTCAATCGAGATATCTAATAAAATAATTAGCCTTTAGAGATAATCAGTATTAGCTATACTATCCTACCGTCTCGATAGAGATTAACTAGCTATATAGTCTCTCTAAATCTCTCGCTAGCTTTTAAACGATATTTCCTATATATATAAGTTATTAGATCCTCGCCTTCTAGTATAAGATTTAGCTAATTTATAGGGTCTAGGAGGTCTTCTTAGGTAAGGTTTAATTTTGTGAGTGCCTTTCTTAAAATATCTTACTCAATGATAGTAGCGACTCTATACTTAGGTTCTAGATTACTATAGCCTTCGATCTTAAATATTTAAAGTATTTTTGTTATATTTTCTTCAGCGAACCCTCTTATTCCTATAATTTTATTGTCTTCTAATCTTAGATACTATAACTTAATAATTGCGTATCCCTAGTAGCACTGTAGTCTTTGAAGGGCGAGGCTATTTATTCGCTAGCTAAGGATATTTTCGCTTATTTCTATTTTTCTCCGTTTAAAGAAGGTATATAAATCTATTAGGTTAAATTACGGGAAGATAGCTTATTGTTAAATATACTTACGACACTGAAACTAGGGCGCGCTTATTGCCACCGCCCGCTAACCCGTTATAGTAGCGGCACTATAGTGTACTACTCCTTAGTATATCCCTACTCCTTAGCATGTCCCTACCCGTCCGTGTGTCCCTACTCCGTAGTGTGTCCCTACTCCCTAGTGTGTCTCTACTCCCTAGTATATCCCTACCCGTCAATGTCTCCCTACCCGTCAGTGTGTCCCTACCCGTTAGTGTGTCCCTACTCCTTAGTATATCCCTACCCGTTAGTGTCTCCCTACCCGTTAGTGTCTCCCTACCCGTCGGTGTGTCTCTACTCCTTAGTATATCCCTACCCGTTAGTGTCTCCCTACCCGTTAGTGTCTCCCTACCCGTCGGTGTGTCCCTACTCCGCAGTATGTCCCCGCACCTTTTACACGCAATACTTAAAACGGTGTCGCACTAATTGGGACGGCCTATTCCTACTATCTAGATTAAAAAATAACGTTACAAATAGTAGATATAGGGTGCTAGAAAGAGTCTTGCAGAGCACGTCACCGGTGATAATAGCAAATCTTACTATACGTGTGTACTAACAACTTATGTTGCGATAGTGTACTACTACGCCATAATCCCTACTCTCTACGCCGAAAATAGTATTGCAAATACTTCCACACGAACTATTATAAAGAGGCTGTCTACTTGTTACTATAGCTTTCTTATTATTTATATAATTACTCTTATAAAAATAACTTCTTACGTTAGTTCTTATCTACTAAAGCTATTTCTTTCATCGGATAATATTTTAACCTATGCAAATTTTACAATAGGATTATTCAATATGATTATACGTACGTTAATAGAACCTTTCGTTGTTATATATATCGCTAAAATAAGTCCTAGCTTAGAAAAAAGGCGCGGAAAAAAAATACCGTACTCCGAAAGCACCATAAAAGAAAAAGGGACCCTCTCTTTCCACTACAGCTAATCCGTCCGGACCACGAGTATTCGGAGCTCTAGCCTCACCTAGACATCAATTCTTTCCACGTTTATATTTATATATATTCGGACTTTCTAACCGTAAGGATAATCCGTCTAGACTATTAGCATTCGGAACTCTAGTACACGAAGCTCTAGCGAAAAGGTAGTGGACTAATATTCGGGGTTAGCTTCTAGATATATATAAGTATGTTAAGCACTCTAGGTGCCTTAGGTTTTAGGACTTATTTGTTAGATATATTTGCTAGCCCTAGTTAGCTCTAAGCTATAAAGCTCAGCCTAGAATTAATTATTATCCTTCTTCTTTATTCCCTTTCGGTCTACTAGAATATCTTGTCTAAAGTCCTAAAAAGAATAGAGTTAAGCCTCGTTTAGTTCTAATTAGACTTCCGTATAACCTAATTTTGGTCGAGTTCACGACCTAGAATCTAACCACTAGAGCCCTAGACAACCCGGAAAGCACCTAGTTTGACCCAATTTTGGCATAAATCGTAATATATAGAGGAACCGCTAGAAGCACTTAGACGGGTGCTGGTCCCGACCTACGTTAAAGTGTATACACGTCATTTGGAATTTGTGGCTATCTAATGATAGTTCGTGCGTGGAGGTTACGAGATTATTCTATGCTATGCTAAGCTTTGTTGACGGAGCTCTAAAGTTCACTAGTCGAGTTATAGTGATAGCACTTTAGAAGGCGGTTTTCAACGTTTCGACGACGGTTGAATATCGAAATCGGCCGTTATATTAGGAATAGTTTGTCTATTACGGAGCTTAAGCATAGATCGCTATTATTATTGTGTGTGCTATCTAATATGCACTATATATATTCTACGGCATTAGTTATAGAAAAAGAACAACGGATCATACCTTCTATGCCACTAATAAAGGTCTAACTTAAGAGGCGCTAAGAGTTCGAGTCTACGTTATCGTCCTAGACGAAGAAACTTCTTAAATACTATTTAAATAGATGCCTACGCAAATATTCACGTCCACCTACCTTCGTTTGATTTTATAGCACTCTGAAGTCTACTAGAATCCCGCAAAAAAGCTCTTATCCTCTACTTAGAGCTATATCCGTATAGGGTTGTAGGTCGGTGTTTCTTATACGTATACCTCCTTAGGCCTATTTCTCGTTCGCTAGGCTTATTGAACACTAAGATGCTCCGCTAATTAGAGATTCTTTTCGGTTCTTCGAACCGGCGTTGGGTAATAGGAGTCCTAGGAAAGTTAGGATGATTGAAGCCATAGAGACCTTTGTTGTAGCATATACTAGCTGAGAACTTAAGAACGTCTAAAATCCTGATGTATCGGTAGAAAAGATGAACACTTGTCCCGATTCTCGAATTCGTATGCCTAAGCAAACATCTGCTCCGTATATCTTGCTATATTTATGTGACTTCTTTTCTAAACTAGACTTACGCCGATCTCTCTTCTGCCGAATCGATTTCTTCTCTAAGCTAGACACTATAGAACGTCTACGAGATATCTTAGCTATTATGAGAAAATCGATAGCTTAAACGATAGTTAGCGGGTAAAAGGGCCGAGACTAAGAATTTATATAGAGTGAATAGTTAAGTGATAAAAGCTAGCATTTATATATCTGATTCTTAAAACCGTGGCCCTTATGTTTCAGATATAAAGTATAGTAAAGCTGGTTAGACTCCTTCCAAGGTACCACGGCGGCAAAACAGCGACCCTAAGAATATAGTGAGCGAGGAAACGAGTATGGTGCGTAATAGCCGCGCTGTGTCTTGCTCTCTTAGGGCTAAGAGGAACCAGCCAATAAGCTTTGGTTCTAGCTCAAAGTTCCCACAAATTCCGGGATAGTCAAACTTTGGACAACCCCAATAGGCATGCATTTTTGTTGCGCGACACTGTTTTAGCTCGCAACAATCCCCACCCCACACAGGCCTGCGACACCTTTTTGGTTCACCCAATGATCCATAGTTTAGTTTCAGGGTCACTGTACATAGTCAGCGCTACCAGTACTAGTTGAGTTCCAAGTGCGGTGTGTGTGATTTTCGGTCTGGTTGATGCTGCAGATACCGTATAATTCAGAATGCAGCCAAAGTGACGCGCAACGGCGCACGGGGCACCACCTCTGTAAGACACTGAATAGCAAAGCAAGGACCGCCAGTATGACTCCAGAAAATTCACTAGCTAGGCCACAGCAAGGACAGGAAAAGAAAGCGATCTCTTGTTCCCAAACTAATATTCATAGCTTTATATCGTCCGTGATGCGGATTTGGGTCAACCGAACCCCGTTAGTATTTTGTTGTTAAAACGTGTCAGAGAGGACGAGGGCGTGGCTCACCTTGGTTATACTTAAAAATGAAATGAGAAACATCCACCTATCACCCCGAGAAGAAGGAAAAGGTAAGTTAAGTTGACCTGACAGGCCTGGATGCATGATGTGATCTGTCTTATCAGGCTTGCTTTAGTGCTATAGCTAGCTTCTCTGCCGATGATCATGACTGCTAACAATTAGCTATTCTGATTGACCCCGCGTTGATTATCCTTTTAGCTTAAGACTACTGCTCCACAATAGGCAGCCTGACCATGCGAGTTTGCCTATTTCTGGTCCCAGCTTTGGTTCTCACCACGGCCCCTCTCACAGGCGCATCTTCCGCTACGTTGGACGATTCTCGTTCCGCTGATCTCCTAGCGGCCTTAACGATATTTAACAGATTAAGTTCGTTCTAGTTTTGTTGTTGGAATAATAGAACCTGAGAGCTGCGTACAAAGACAGACTTTATGCCATTGTTTTGAAGAAATCTACAGACATATATTCAACAGTCCTGGCAAGCAAGCAAAGGACAAGTCGAAACACGAATCGATGACTCGAAGGATCACCGTAGTTGGACAAACGTCACCCTCCCCTGATCGACTCGAACCGGTGAGTATCTATTACTCGCACTCAAGCGGGTCCAATAAGGTGAGTAGAAGTATAGGGTCCAGTAGTGGTCTGAACAGTGTGCTGGCCATGCGATCTCATGTAGCACGTATATTGACCGACTGCACCGTTGGCCCATGCTGTAAGGACACATGTCGGCTTTGACGCACAGAGTTTCATGCACTCCATATAGGAGGGTATAAGAGGAGCACCCACATCCCACCCGCCTTCACGATCATTCACTACAAACCAATTAGCATGGTACAGGACCTGGCAATGGGAGATATACACTTGGCGTAATATATTTTCCATTTCTTCCCAGCAATAATCACCTCCCGCCCATCATCAGTTTGGGCTAGGTTATGTTAGCCCAGGTCGTCCACAGATAAAAGGGGAGGCCTACCCGGAACGAAGTTGGCGGGGAGTAGGTTAGATAGTCGCTCAATTTTTTGGTTTGCAGCCGCGAGATTGTTCTCGCATGCGGTTTTTGCGGCAGATATGCCGCTCTTCTCGGCTTCACACTACACCAAGGATCTACCCTATTGCTCCTTCTCCTGTGCCAACAGCTCCTTCTCCTCGAGGCATTTCTGTTGCCCCTCGCTAGGGGATGGTCCAGTGACGGGATCATGTTTCTCGCCTGGTATCAATAGTACAGCGCCTGGGACGCGGAATGAGACGGCGTCTATTTTATCGGACTGCCAGCAGTTTCTAGAATGCCAGACCATGGTATGGCAGGCTGGCTCCGCCGTACATAGCCGAGCATAGTCCTCGGGGGATACGCCCTCCTTTACCTTCTTGGGAGCAGGAGATATATAGGAAGTATCACAGGTGACGGTGTACAAGGTGGAATCGACCTAGATTTGCCCTGCTTTATCGGGACAGAAGCGATTATAGTCGGCTCTTGCGAGGCTACTAAACCACACTGACGCCCATAGAAGGGACATGAGTATAGAGCGGTAGAGATTTGAAGCGCCTATGTTGAAGAGAGCTAACAAGGTGAAGGTGATACTCCACGAAAGCAGTGGGACAAGCTTGGTGCGCTGGTTGAGCTTTATAAGAGAGTATCCATATGCATGCTGTTGTCCACCGGCGGCAATCCAAGTCACGCTATGTTTGCAAATTGGTAGCTTCAGGTAGCCACCATGTTCGCCTTGTCCGCAACAAGAAAGACGAAGCGACTATATAAATCTCAGGAAAGTCTAACCGAGCAATCTGCACCATTGAGTCCCTAACTCTACACAGAAATAGTGGCAACTGAGAGCGCTGCGTTATCCAAAGGCGCGTAGTGTGAAAATGGCTGCATGGCAACTCGAGTTGAGCGAATTTTTATAGGTTGTATCATGCTTCTGATTCAATGTGGCTACCTGAGCTGAGACGGGAAAATATGACGAGTTCGAAACTTAGAGTGTGCCTATAGATCTATCTCTATGATCAGATAATGCAGAGTAGCGCCACGCAGATCCAGCGGGGGCTATTGGGCTATTCTGCAACTTATTCAGCCTGCTGTCCTTAGCATTGCCCATAACTACAGGTTAAGCTCTATCACGTTGTATTTCGAGGTCAGAGCTGGATTCTCCGCGTAGCAGAAGGATGTTCGCCTTTTTTTGCCCGCTCGGCCGGTCTATTCCAGAACAATCAGGGATGATATAGTAAGTGTAATATTAGGGTATCTCGTCCGTCCCCTCGTAATAATGTTGAGAGTCTTAGAGGTATCAAGTGTGACTATATAACGAGGCTATCCTTCCGTCAATTCTATATCATTTATGCAATTGGTCTCGTGTTCTAACTCTTTTTTCTATTCTTCGAGTAAGAAGACTGTCAATAAAGCTCCCTCTAGCACTCCTATTGGCTAGTGGAGCACTTTAGGTCGCCTCTTAGCAGTTGGCTGGATTGCAAAAAGTCCTTGATTATCCCTCCCGCGCAATCACCCTCGACGATATTGTCCCGTCCTCCTAGCGTAATCCCACCATAGGCGAAACCGACCTAAAGTGCTGTCTAAAGGGGACCGTGTATGACGGGACTAGGTGTCTGCTATATCAGAGAGACATCTGTCCCGAGCACACGGTCTTCTAGGATAGAATATGCGTCTATACCAGAGGACCACAATACCCGCGTGGTTTCCAATACCAAGACTATTTATGCGTGTCCACTTAAGACCCAATCTGCCCGTTAGGATCTAACTAGATAAACGGGACCTACATGCTGTCGATCCCTCCCGGCTGTGACAACGGATACCGGTTTAGTGATAGCCATTGTGTGTACCAGGAAGGCCCTTAGTGCCTATATAGCTTCTTCCCTAAGAACGATCGGTGTATCTCCCGGTCCGGTCTAGATTGTCCCGATAGCTTACGATACGACGGGGAAAGCTGTATCGCCAGAGATAGGCCGTCGTGTAGGCGACCGGACCTTATCGTGCTTAATAGGACGTGCGTTTCCAAAGAGCGACCGGAGTGCCCTCCTAGGTACACGAACGACGGTTCTTATTGTCGCCTAAGCCGTGACCCCGAGTGTCCCCCTAGAACAGTGTCTCGAAATAGGAAGTGCGTGTCTCAAACACCGCCAGCTTATACATTAGGCCCTTTCGAGGATAGGCAATGTCGAACAGACCAAAAGCCTCAGTGCCCCCTAGGGTTAGAGTTAGAGAACAAACGATGCGTACGCCGCGAGGAGCCCGTATGCCCCCCTAGATTCGCTTTAGCCTTCTATCGACCCTCTTAGACCGGGCGATGCTGCCTAACGGCTTAGACGTAGGATGGTTCCTCATACTTCCTTATCCCTACGGATCCCGGATCGTGCCCGGATAGGACCATATATAACGGTGAGAAATACGTCACGGCTCCTCACAAGCAACCTGTCTACGATCCACCACTAGAATTCCGCGACGGCTACTGCGTATTAGAAGAGACGCCCGCCTACGAGGTAGGTGTATAGAACGGACAGTACTGCCTACTCGACGAAACGCCATCCTATGCGCCTCCTACTCGGTTCAATAGCGTAGAGTGTATATCCACATAACCCCCAACCTATCCAGAAGGCTCGTATATTTATGACGACCACTGCCGAGGCGATAAGCTAGCGCGCTGTCCACCACCCCTCCGTCTATTCAAAGATCACTATATGGACGCCACGCCTCCGGAGTGTCCATCCGGGTTTACTCTCAGCGGGACCATCTACCGCTCTAATAGGGCCCCTCAGTGCCCTAAGAATGAGATATACTAGGACGACAACTATATCATCCCGACCACACCCGAATGCCCAGACGGTTTCCCGCTAGTAGGCGATAAGTGCCTTGCAGACGTCTAGCCAGAATGCCCACCCGGCTTCCGAGTTAAGGGCAAGAACTACATTTCTACCGAGAACCCCGAATGTCCCCTGGGTCTCGAGCGTATCGACGAAGACTGCGTCTATCCAGCGCCCCCGTCCTATCCCCCAGACATATCGTAAGACGCAAACCGATGCATCTCGGTTATACCACCCTAGTGTCCTAAAGGTCTCGTCCCGCGCGGCAGTGAATACGTCGCAAACGATAACCCCGAATACCCACCGGGATTCCGTTTCGTGGATAACCAATATGTCTCTAAGAATAAGCCTAAATGTCCGCCCGGGTCTAGCCTCGTCGGCGAGGAATGTATCGTTAAGAGGGCGCCCGACTGTCCGCCTAGTACGCAATTCTAGTTTAGAATGTACGTGTTGATTAAGCGGCCTAAATGTCCCCCTAGGTTAGACTTAAAGGATGATAAGTGCGTTAGAACGTTGGAGCCCGAGTGTCCCCTAGGTCAGAAATTCAATAGGTTCTTCTACGCGTCTAAGGATAATCCGTAGTGTCCTAAGGGGACGAGCTATAATGGGGCGAGGTGTTCCGTTAATGGCAGTCCTTCTTGTTATGAGCTGCAATACTGCCCCCCTATTGCTCCGTCTTAGTAGGTTTTGGTGGCCTTAGCGAATAGAGCTTTCTCGGTTAGCATACCTATTGACACGCATTAGGGTTATATTCCTTATAGAAGCTCGGGTTCTCACTCTTAGTGATTTAGTCTACTCCCGGTTCTGTTATTTATTATGCTATATAGAAATAACTATATGTTATCTAACTTATTGAATTCATATGTTGTTTTCTAGGACCGTTCCTCTTAATGGGGTAGGATAAATCATTTGTCCTTATCGATAGTTATAGATGTAACTAAGTGTGTTTATACCCTGCTAAAAAGCCGTCTTTCTGGTCTTGATATATCTCAGCAATCCTTCTTCTATAAGCTTCTTGATTATATTGGAGAGCATAAAATCACAACCCCGGCGAGCAATGATATTGATCGTCACCGGCTATTTCTCCGTGACCATGGTCCCTAGCGGGTAATAATCTAGCTGTCCGAGTAGAATGGTAACACCTATAGCCAGTCAGCTTGCCTTAGATATACGTAGGACGCTGCTTACCCGAATAAAGTACAGATACCGCTGCAGGAGACGTCTGTATGTATGCATATAGATTTGGAACATTTTTGGAAAATAGAGTGCTATTTTACGCTATGGTGGTAGCCTAAACCTAGTGTATAATGTCGTATGCGCTGACCCTAACGAGGCAGATAGAGTATGGCTAGATCTAGCTTATCTCTAGAGACTAGCAGAATAGCCTAGGTCTTAAGTCGATGCTTCTTATAGGCATGCCTCCTTAAACTATCTTTATGCTTAACCGATATATTGCAGTACTTACAGCGACGGTTATGTAGATATATATCCCTGAAATAACGTAGAAGATATTTATGTCGAGAATAGTGTTTTATCCGACGGTCGTCCGATTCTTCTAGGTTTCTAAAATATTGGAAGCATCCTAGTGGTTTAGCGGCGGCCTAGATATACGCTTCTACCTTTCGTAAAGTATCTTCGCGTAGTAAATATGGTATAGGGGGTTATGTAGAAACTAGTGTAGGAGGGCTATATAGTATAAGATTATCACGAGGAACGGGTTTCTTTAGTCGTCGTCCTCTTTAGGGCCTACCTTCTCGTACACGGTAGTATATACGAATAGCTTTAACTACCTTATTTCGCCGCTTCGACTCCCGTTCTAAAGATAATAAAGTCGGCTATATTATTAGCTTTTCTAAGAGAAATATCTACTCCGGTAGTATATTTTCCCTAGCTACTAGGCGCTCCTTAGTTTTATCGTCTTAAACCGCGGTTCCGGTAGTAAGCTATCGCTAAATATCCTTAACTACTTAGCTACTATCGAATTCTTCCCTTACACGCTTATAAAGATTGTAAAGGAGCCGACTACGTATATTAATCATATTCCTCTTAAGTTATTTAAGTCGATCTAGTCCTCTATAGCTCTTTTTGCCGCTTTATTTTAGTTTTCGAGCGAACCTATCACGTTTGTAGATCGCCTCTTATAACTCTAGGATCTCTTTAATACCTACTTTCTAGGTATCTATAAGCTCGCGAGGCCGTTAAGTGTTAACCTATCTCCCTATACGAGTGACCGCTCTTATTATCGCTAAGTTAGGTTTAAGACCTCTTATTACTACCTATATATCCGTACCGATGCGACGCGGGAGATAATAGTTCAAAAATGTTCGAATACTTACGTGTTTTATAATTAAATTTTGTTATATATCGCTCACGAGCCCTTTCCTTTCTTAGCCCTTTTTTCGCTTTCTTATAAGAACCGAGAGTAGGGTAACTTACTACTCTAATTAAGTATTGTCCTACCACCGTACCAGTTATAATATATATAAAGGTTCGGAAAACTAGCAATCTCCCTAAAGATTTGATATTGCTTATCTAGAGCTAAGGTCGAGATTGGCTAATCTCTAATAATCTATACGACGCCGCGGATTGCCACGACCTTATAGAATATATAATGATTTACCTTCTTAGCTTTTAGTGGTAATAGTAGCTACTACCGGCTATCTTCTAGCTAAAGTCTTTTAAGGTCGTCCCGGGATTTTATTATAGGGGTATAGAAAGCGTCGTTATCGAAAAGAATACTAAGCAAAAACTTATATAGGCTTAATATAAGCGACGGATTATAAATAATCTTAGGAATAATAAAAGTGTTCCTACCTAATATTAGTGATCTACACTTATAAGAAGCAATTTTTCCTATAGAAAGCGTTAATTAACCTATACCCTTATATCACACCGAGATACGTTTTAGCAAACTTATAGGTAATTTTAAGTAGAATACGGGGCGGCCCCCCTTTCGGATCTCGTTAGATTGAGCACTATAGGTGCTTATATTAAAGCTTTCTTATTACACTAATTTGATTTACCGTAAAGTAGGCTATAAGATTATAAAGGTATTATTATATTCGTTAAAGTCTAATATAGAACCGCTTTTCTATCGTGCGGAGAATAGTCTCCTATAAGATAACCATATCTTTAATATATAGCGGTGGCTTTTCTTTTTCGTCGGTGATTAACCCTTTCCTTTTCACGATTTTCCGAATACTCTTTAGAAATTATCCCGTTAGTAATATATCTATTATTAGAAAATTCTAGCCTAACCTTTCTTATTCTTCGTCCTAGATTATAGGGTATAGGGTCCTAGTTAGTTTTCTCGTAATAGCGAAGAAATATCTTCTAGTACGTATTAAGAGTACTAGCCTTCTTAATACCTTTTGCGCGTCGCCTATCCCGACCGCGCTTTACTTAAAGTCCCTAGTAGAGAAACTTCGTGAATTCTCTCTTTCCGGCTACCTAAAGGGCGTATTAAGGGTCTTTCTATCTCGAATCGGAAGATATATACTATTTTTAGTGCTATTTCCGATAGAATCTAGGCACTAGTTAGATAATAGGTAAAGGAGGATATCTATAGGTTCGCTTCGCCTACCTTTCCTAACGATCCTTTATAAATGCAATCTAGGTCTTCGTACCTTCTATATAACTATCACTATCGCTATTAGATAAAATCTTATCTAACTCAATATCTAGATCTATTGTAGATTCCCCTCCGTTAGTATCGCTTAAGCTTATATTATTCCTCTACCTATCTTAGACCGTTCTTATATCGTTTAGCTATATTCCTAGTGTGGGTTTCTTTTTTCGCCTTTTATGACGAGCCCGGCTTCCTTCCTTATTATCGGATATATAGCTAGAACCAATTAATAACCCTCGGCTACGCCCACGTTTATTAACGAGGGAAACACGAGGGTGGCGTCTACGAACTAACACTAAGGGAGGTTCCTAGGTTGATATATCGGTTTCGGATTTAATGTCGGTTATCTCGGACTCCGTGCGAAAAGATTCGGAGTGAGGGCTTCTATCGCTAGATCGACTTTGATACCTCGCTATCTCGCCGTGTCGGTGGTGATAGATTGGAGTGACGTGCGACGTAGGGAGATATAGCGATATAAGAATATCTAACCCTTAAGGTCAAAGTGGCAGTGTAGTATAGATACGAGTATATTTAAGGGGAAGGGGATATACTAGAAAAAGTATGATCGTTCTAGGGGGTTAGAGGCACTATTTATAATAATATAGAATAGCTCCTATTACCTATATAGAGCTAAATATTTTTTTTCTATCTTCGACTGGGGCCACGTATTGAAAGACATCGACGTTGCGAAAATAGCAAGAAATGGGAGGTGAGCCGAGGGTGCGTAGGGGTGAGCACTAGGTGAGCGCTGGGTGAGCGATAGGTGAGCGCTAGGTGAGCAGCGAGCGAGTGATAGATAACTGCGTGGGCCGTAGGCGTATTAGCGCGTGCGTGCGCGAGTCACTGTCTGGCCGTGGCATAAAGCCCCTGGGCTAACGACGCCATTTTCGGCGTCAAATGACGCCAATTCTGGCAGCTCCGGCCTAAACAGAAATATACATCTAGTAATAAACACCCCTCTATCTTAGGTAATAGTAGACCCCCCGGAGTAAGCTTAGTATTATATTACTTAGAAAAGTACGGGCTATCTAATAATGAAATAATAATTGTAAAAACACTAGGAAGTCATCGAGTAGACTACTCCCGATTAGTCAAAAAAGTGTTAAAAACCGTCCTGTAGAGAGACCTTAGGTGGCACTCTCAATTATATATATCTCTACACTCCGATATATATCTCTACAATATTAGTCTAAATTTTTACTACTAGGAAATAAGGTTTCCTAGTATCCTAATTAGGTCTAGCTTATAGCTTATTAGCTAATAATGTCTACTACTATATTAGATAGACTATAATATACTAATATACTACCTTTTACTAGAAATCTAAGGTTTAACCGCTAATAACTCGCCTACTAACAGACCTACTAGTTTATAAATAGTATATTTGAAATCAGCTAACTTTTCTCTATCGAATAGACCCCTTATTGGATTCGTAGTACATAGGACTAGCTAGTTAAGGTGCCCGACGTTCTAGGTGAACCTATCTATTCACGTGGCCGCTAAGAGTAAAATACGGGGTATAAGATACAAATACGGGGTAATCTATTTAGTAGGGGCCGCTATAGATAAGGGTGGGTATCCGATTACGGTAATAAATCCCGTCGGTCGCAACGCATATAAGGTTTTCACCTATTTTTGATCATCCACCACACCACCATTATTAGTCTAATCGTGGTCAAACTTTCACAATTCCTAGATTCAATAGTTAAATAGACCGTGTCTAAATTATAGACTAATCGGAGCAATACGTAGCCCGTGGTCGTGGAGTAAACATCGAACGTTAGTACTACGACCGGGTGACCCTATCAAAACTTTTCACCAATTTTTGATTATAAACCACACTACTATTATTAGTCTGATCGTGGTCAAACTTTCACAATTCTTAGAACTAATAGTTGAATAGACCGTGTCGAATTCATAGACTAATCGGAGCAATACATAGCCCGTGGTCACGGAGTAAACGTCTAACCTATAGTACTGTAACCACCCAAAAAGGTACAAGGAGGTACAAGACCAAAATACTTCAAACGCGTATAACTCAATTACTAGAAGGCTGTGCAAACTCCGAAGCAAATCGGAGATACCTCACGTATACGTCTATAGCCAATGTAAGTCTTAGACCGATCGGGGCTAAATAGACCTCTGCAGTCTGGCGAGGAAAAGAACCTGCAGTCTGGCGTAGCCGTATATTGAGGTACCATAGTTAAGAGCCAAGCCCTAACCTGCAGTCTGGCAGACTGCACCCACCCCCGTGGGATAGGAGTCCTGCTACCCCTTTATTTCAGCTTGAAAAAAGAAAAAAAGAAAAAAAGTAATCAATATCTCAGGAAGCATATTTTAGTAAACATCTTAGTAAACACCTATCATCATCATCGTCTGTATTGTTTTCTTGAAAGAAGCAAAATCTGCGCACAGCAGTCTCAGCTCACTCCTGCACACCACGACCAGAGCCAGACTCCAGATCCCCATGCCCCCGACTGACGCTCCCCCGATTTCTATGCCCGGGAAAGCGGTGTCGGGCGGAAGACGCCTCATCGTGTTCGCTGCGAACACTGCGGCTATCAGCAGAGGTTCGTCCATCTTGTGAGGCAATCCCTTCTTCCTGGGTGATTTTCTGCATCCA